CTCTCTCTCTCTCTCTCTCTCTCTCTCTCTCTCTCTCTCTCTCTCTCTCTCTCTCTCTCTCTCTCTCTCTCTCTCTCAATCAATCAATCGATCAATCACACGTTCTTACTTCATTTTCTGTTTTCTTGTTTTCTTTTTCATTTTATTTCCAGACTTCAAAGTTCTAGTGCAACATAGTTGTTGAAAACAGCTGACTGTTGAAGGTTGTTTTATTCTGGCTGCTGCTGTTAGAATGGGTTCTTTTTCAAAAGCAAGGATGAGCAGAAATCGCCGTCAGGTGAAGGATGTGCCATAGGAGCTGCTGTAGCCGCCTTCACAGTTGTGCCCCCAGGCATGTCAAGGGAGATGGTGTTCTCCCTTGCATGGGACGCGCCTATAGTGAAGTTTTGTGAGGGCTCATCGTACTACAGGTACTGCGTCTCTGTCATATGCCATGGTTTGCAGTAGCATGTCCCACATGTGAATGTTAACTGCTTGCTAAGCATCAGTACATTTGAACATTTAACTCACATTTGAACTCACAGTTAAACTCACCAAGTTAACTAACGGGGTTAACTCACCAGGTTAAGTTATGTTGAACTCATCGTTAACTCAACTGCAGTTAACTCAGGGTTCCTTATTGTTTGTACCCGTTTCCACCAGACTGTATTACTGGCAACGATCATGCCCAATGCTACTGTGAAAGTTCATCCCTATTTTTTAATCGGATTTTATTGTAGGACCCTGAGTTCGAAGGGAGATGTACCCTGACGCAGCGGCCTGGTAGCTCCGGTCCAGGCTGATACTCCCGGTGGCAAGGTCTCTCTTCTCCCCCCTCTCTGAGTGTCCCGGCTTGAGTGATTCCTGAGTGAGTGGGTGGGTCCGCTGTGGCGACAGGTTGGATGAGCCCGGCGCATGAAGCATCCTGCCGGACTTCCTTCCTGAGTCATATCCCCGACACCCCACAACCCTAATAGTTCAGCCTCCTGATGCGTCTGTGAAACTCCGACGAAACAGTTTGTCACAGCCCCTCGTTTGTTGTCCTCTTCTCCGTCTCTGCCTACGGTTTACCGGGCAGCTCTGTTTGACGATTTATATACATATATAAAAAAGAAAGGCAACAATGCGACAAACTTAGAGGATAGAAGTCTACAGATGATAAGGCTGTAGTACCTGCTGTACATGAGAAGGATGTACGGGTAACTTAATATATGGGGGCATACTGCAACAAAGTATAGACACAGGGAGGTCTTGATTAGCTCAAAGTTTCATAGCGGTGCCTACCAAGGATTCACCAGGGTGTTATTATAGTGCAAACACTCACTTCCAGATTTGCAGCAGCTACTGAAATTGGCGAGGAAGGGTTGTTGTATGCCATACAATCGTGATGTTCTTTAACTACCTCCTCCCACCTCCTCTTGAACCTGAAGTCAAAGGGTAGTGGACCAGTGGTCCTTACCCACAATGACAGTGACTGGCTTGCTCTTTGCTACCATTGGTTATGACCTGGCTATGGTGTGCTAAGAATCCCTCCCTCCTCCCTCCCTCCATGGATGGATGAATGGATCATCCATCCATCCAATCCATCCATCCATCCAATCCATCCAACCATCCCAACCATCCCATCCATCCCATCCATTCAAACCATCCAATCCATCCAATCCATCCAATCCATCCATTCATCCATCCATCCGTCTATCGTGATGCTGCAAGAGATAACTCGCAATGGAGAAGTGGGTGGTGGACGGGAGGGAGGAAGGAGGGAGGGAGGGAGGGATGGAGGGAGGGATGGAGGGAGGCATGGAGGGAGGGAGGGATGAAGGGAGGGAGGGATGGAATGATGGAGTGATGGATGGATGGATGGATGATCCATCCATGGAGGGAGGGAGG